AATGTGTTTATTACCTATTAACTCTTGAGACCCTAAGAATGAAAACTAAATTTAAAGCCCAAGTCAGATAGCCCAGTGCATCTCCAACAAGATAACCATTTGCAGATCTTTATACAAGGGACCTATTTCTCCACATGCTAAGTTTTATGGTGAATTTTACAACACTGGCAAACAATTTCACCTTTATGACAACTTTCAACATTTTTTTTCCCCTGTGCCTTCTCATAGCTTTCCAAATTTCTGTATTTGGTAACGCTCAAATCTCTGAAAACCGAAGTTAAAGTACACAGCACTTCAGCTCAACTCAGCCCCTCTCTGGGACTGGCGTTGCTACAGGAGCCATCTGCATGAATTCTGGGTGCATTTACTGTATGACATTAATAAAGGAGAGTGTTCAGTGACTCTGGCTGGCAGCATAACTCTGTTACAAGGACATCTGGGGATTATGGTGCCTGGCAAAACTGCATCTGTAACATACAGGGATTAGGGAAGGAAGGAGGTAATTCACTGGAGGGGTGCAACCAACCTTACACATGTGAGCGGACAGGGGACTATATTGCGTTTGTGTGGCAAGGTTTCAGTAGTGGAGGGGCTACAGGGGTGGCTTCTGTGAGCAGCTGTTCGAAGCTTCCCCCATGTCTGACAGAGCCAATGCCAGCCAGCTCCAAGAAGGACCCACTGCTGGCCAAGGCCAAGCCAACCAGCGACGGTGGTAGCGCCTCTGGGATAACATATTTAAGAGGAAACAAAACAAAACAAAAAAAGGCCCAGGACACAAACTGCAGCTGGAGTGAGGAGTGAGAATATGGGAGAGGAAGGACTCTGCAGACACCAAGGTCAGTGAAGAAGGAGGGGGAGGAGGTGCTCCAGGCACCGGAGCAGAGATTCCCCTGCAGCCTGTGGTGAAGACCATGGTGAGGCAGGCTGTGCCCCTGGCAGCCCATGGAGGCCCACGGTGGAGCAGATATCCACCTGCAGCCCGGGGGGGACACCATGCCGGAGCAGGTGGATGTGCCTGTGGGAAGCCCGCGCTGGAGCAGGCTCCGGAGAGAGAGGAGCCCAGGCTGGAGCAGGTTTGCTGGCAGGGCTTGTGACCCCACGGGGGACCCACGCTGGAGCAGTCTGCTCCTGAAGGACTGCACCCCGTGGAAGGGACCCACGCTGGAGCAATTCATGAAGGACTGCACCCCGTGGAAGGGACCCATGCTGGAGCAGTTCATGAAGAACTGCAGCCTGTGGGAGGGACCCCACGCTGGAACAGGGGAAGAGTGTGAGGAGCCCTCCCCCTAAGGAGGAAGGAGCGGCAGAGACAACGTGATGAACTGACTGCCACCCCATTCCCTGTCCCCCTGCACCACTCGGGGGGAGGAGGTAGAGAAAATCAGGAGTGAAGTTGAGCCCAGGAAGAAGGGAGGGGTAGGGGGAAGGTGTTTTAGGATTTGATTTTATTTCTCATTACTCAGTTTTGACTGGCAATACATTAAACTGATTTTTCCCCAAGTCGAGTCTGTTTTGCCCATGACAGTAATAGCTGAGTGATCTCCCTGTCCTTATCCTGACCCATGAGCTTTTTTGTTATATTTTCTCTCTCCCCTGTCCAGTTGAGAAGGGGAGTGATAGAGTGGCTTTGGTGGCACTTGGCATCCAGCCAGGGGCAACCCATCACAAGGAGGGAATAATTTCACTTGTAACTTGACAAGTAGGCACTAATGTAACAAGCCTGGTCTTTGAGACCAAAACTAGTACACCAGCTTGTACTGTACCACATGCCATCACTCCACAACGGTGCTGCAGTGAGCTAGGCAATTACACCTTCTCAAATACATTCCATGGCAGGAACACTGTGTCCACAAGGCAGCGTTGCCATGTTTAATTACTACTACATTACCACTTCTAATTCTTTTCTTTTCTAAATCTAGCTTTTTTTTGATGCCAAAACTTATACTGCTTCCTAAAGCTACTAAAATGGCATACTGACACCTAATATAAAGGAGAAACAAGATGAAGTCTAAAAAAACCCAATATTTATAGCAAAACAAATTACATCTCAAGAGTTACATATAATGTATATAGCAAAACAAAACGTATGAGAATAAGGTATGAAACTGTATTTCAGTAATTCAAAAGCAAACAGATTACGTCAGAATTATTTGAAACTCAACATTACAGACCAAACAGCTTCAGAACTAGACTTGCACATCAACGAAATCTAACCTGCTAAAATAACTGCAAGGCATCTTAACTATAAAATAGTGGCACCAGGTGTATAAATGAGACGTTACTGTATTTGTAATTGTGAATTAGAAGTAATCTCACAGGATTTGGGGGGAGGAGGGGCTGTAATTTTCTCTGCCATTCAGTTTAAAAACCATAAAAAGAGCAAAATTAAGAAGAAAGATGAAACAAAAGCAGTAAAAGTATATTAGTAAAAATTAAATAGAAACATACCACACCAGGTAAAATTATTTTATTCCCTTAAATTACAAGGAGAAAGGCAACCAAATTCAGTTTCTTTTCTTGGCCGAAGATGTCCATAAAAGTTCAAGATCTGTAGCTGCCAAAAGCAACTACAGATGGTTCAGCCTCCTCCATTCTCTTAAAATCACTTTTAGCTTTCTCCTCTTCCTTCCAAAGGGACTGAGCTTTTGTATTCTTACTCTTGAGAGAACCTCTCTCCACTCCACATTCCATCATACCATTTATTTTCTCCTGTAAATCCAGTCGTTCTTATCTAGGGGCTAAAACTGGAGGTGGTGAGAGCAAAAGCCCACAGAATGGAACTAATCACACTTTTATTGCATGAGTATCTTCTAGTTTTCTGTATGGAGATGATTGGCTTGGTAGACCAGTGACAGCAGTGAACGTCATCTACCCTGACTTTAGCAAGGCCTGCAGTGTGTCCCGTAGTGTCCTTTAACCAGAATGGTAACTTATGGACTAGGTAAGTAGACAATAAGGTTGGAAAAAAACTAGCTGAACCACTAAGCTGAAAAGGTTGTAGTGATTGGTACAAAGTCCAGCTGGCAGCTGGTTACTGGGGGCATCTCCCAAGTGCTGACACTGGGGCCACCAGTTTAACATCTTTATTAACAATCTGAACAAGTTAACTGAATACGCTTTCAGTAAGTCTGCAGATGATACTAAACTGGATTTGTTCACTCTTAAAGCACGACAACTAAAGTGAGAAATCCTACTGCTGTCTTCAATTACTTAATGAAAAGATATATAAATAATGAAAGGAGCCTGGCTCCTTTCAGAGAAGCACAGTGATAGGACAAGAGGCAGTGGAAAATAAGTTTCAACAAGGGAAATCTCGATTAGATGACTGGAAAAAAATTTTCACCATGACAGTGGTCAAGCACTGAAACAGACACACAGAGAGGCTGTGGTATCTCCATCCTTGGATATTCTGGAACAGTGATGGGAGACAGCTGGAGGAGCACCACTGTCACAACATTTCCATCCTCTTTTACAGGACAAGCTAATTAATAAAAGTTACGAAAACTACTGAAAATCATAGAATCTGAACATTAGTAAGTTAAAATGCTAAATAAGGAATATTTTGCAGTGTATTTGTCTTCTTGTTTCTTTTTAAAATAGAGTTAGGATTGTTAAAATGTCATTAGACTACATAAAGCTTGTTCCAGAATTCATCTGGTAAAGGTCTCAGTAACATGTGACAGCATAGCCCTACAGCACTCATCTGTTCTGAAAAGTAGATGCAAGTCATCACTCTGCATTTGCCTGCTGCACAGCGCAGTATGTACTGTGAATTCACGTGTTTTTCTGGCTTCTTTGTGAAGTGTGTTCTGGACAACCTCTATTGCATTTGCTCCCTAAGTTGTGAGGTGAGAAGACATTTACAATACTTCCATGTAATCTTCTCTCTATGAAGAGAATACCTTATTTCAGCATCTAAATGTCAAAGTAAGTAAATGAAACTGTGCAGGATTATTATTTCTATACTATAGTTGGAGAAGCAGAGATTTGACAGTTAAATGACTTTCTCAAAGTCGGAGAACAAGTAGCTGATTCAAGCGCAGGAAATTAATACAAAAATTTCCAACTTCCAGTTTTTATGTTGGCAGTGGGAAAGATAAGCCACACATTTGCCAATGAGAGAGAAAATACATATGCACATACAAAGTGTTTCTCCTATTGGAGCGTATACACTTTTTTTTGGTAGCTTCTAGTCATTTATGGTCTGAAACAGCTGAGGGGAGCTGGGTGTAATGAGAAAACAAAAATTCCTTCAGAATGCAATGTAAGAGCCCTCGTTTTACACTTACTACACTCCTCCCTGTCACTGTGCTCTTTTCTTTTCTATTTCTAGGTACATCATTCTCCCCTACCCCTACCCAAAAAGAATTTGCTTGACTGCTAAATAGGAGATGACATGAGCACTTACATAATTTACAGAAAGAAATCAACAAACCCTTTTTGAGCTTTAGCAATCTCTTCCCACATTAGCGTTAGGGCAATTTAAAACAATACTTCAAATGCTTTTACAACATTTAGCTCAACTCAATCATGACTACTTCTTCACATTTACTGAAGTAAGTTAGGGAAATTTTATTTTTAAATGCATGCAGCCCTAAATTGCAGATCTGACCACTGAGTCACTGTCTCCTTTCTAAAGCCATCTGTGGTTTCCCTGGGCAGATGAGATGGTCAAAGTTCCTCTGGCCAGCAGAAGAATAATTAATAAAACAACTGTTCCAAAGTAGGAACAGACTGACTTTATACCACATTATCAACTGATGCTCCAATTGGCAAGCCAAAGTTCTGAGACTTGTCCCTTCCAAGGCTCAGACATGAAGTAACAGAAGGAAAAACCAACGGTGGTTCCAAAGCAGTTCATGGGACAACCTGGCACAACTTGACTGTAATCAATCACATCCTTTTGCAAGATAAAGGCTGAAGTGTTCAAGCAGGTGGGCTACTGGCAGGCAATCCACCTCAAAACAATACACAGATAAATGGTATTTACTTTTTCTTACCTGATATGCGTTGCCGGAAGGGACTCATACTGGCGAGAAAGGAAGAGCTCTCTGTGCTTCAACTGATGTTTCTGTTTATCAGTCAAGTCAACCTCAATTGTAGTTTCAGACTCTTCCTCAACTTCTTCTGCAGAAAAGCAGAGCGTAGGTCAAAATTAACTCCATTGCATAATACCATTGTAGCCATTTCTCTTGACATCCCCCCCACCCCTTAGCAACCTCCCTTAGTATTTCAAAGAAAAGATACAGTTTATGTAACTTGACAGAATATTAAGTATTTTTAATTCTATAGCTTCTACTTAAAGTGTTTAAAAAATTATGCTCCTCTCCTACTGTACTACACATTGATGTCTTTCACACAGCTGTAAGAGCAATCCTGACAACATTACTCATTCTTTTTTCATCTTCTTTCATCTGTTTTTTTGCTGGGGGTGCCTCTTGCTTGCTGACCAGTTCTGGTTTAGATTTTCTGTTGCTGATACTGGTGTTACTAAAGCTTTTACAGAAGTCCTGGGGAAAAGCATGAACAGAAATTTACTAATACACTATTGCAGTCTAAGACTGCCAAATCACAATCTAAGAAAACTGAAAAAGCCTACTGCCTTCCATTACGTTAACCTTACTAGATACAATAAGTAGTTTATTTTAATATTTAAATAAGATTTAAAATTATTTCTATTTTAAGCAAGAAAGCACTATTTCATCTAGCAGCATCTATAACAGCAAATCATTAATTATATAGTTCTTTTTGAAGGATGTCTTCAGTTGAAAACTATCTTTTATAGTTACTCTAATCTGAAATTCTCTAGTATTACCTCATATATGATAAAACCAAGGAAATCATTCCCTTTTAAAGATTTAAGCAAACTGTAAACTAGGAACATAAAGGAAGAAATACAAGCAGATACTAGAAAGCATCACAAACAGAGTTAAAGAGCAATGTTCACAGTGGTTGCTAACACGTCATAAGATGACAGGCTCTCCAAAATGGCTACGCCGGGATCTTCATGGCCAAAATCTGCCTTCCTAGCGGATTCTTGGGACATGTGGAACTTGAATCTATACTTCCCCTAGCTTCCCAGAAAGGACAAAAAAGAACACTGTATGCAAAAATGCAGACAGTTTAATAACTTCTTTACGATTTGGCAATTTTCTACCTGCTAAATTATCCATCAGCTGCAAAACCAAAGTGTACTTTATAAAACATGTCTCAGAAATCAAAAAATGAAACCTCAGCATTAGATAGTATTTCACGTAATTACCTACAACAGATCACCTCATCTGCTCTTCCAACAATAACCATTTTTACCAACAACCTACAGACACTACCTCAAAATGAAGCCTGCCTGTATCCTCATGGCAACCACAGTTCCCTCCAAGTGCAACAATTTACTATTTTATTTTTTTAATCATGCCTGTGTGTAGCTCATTCCACTTCGAATAGTTCTTTCGACAAAAGTGATAAAACAATACACTCTGATATAACCAACATCTTCAAACCCAATTCCATACACTTTAAATCTATCTTGCTGTAGAACCCCAGTCACCTGTCTTGTTTTGGTGTGTTTTGTGGGGTGGCAGAATAAGAAAAACAAAAATGAAAACAAGACACACACACACCGCCCCCAGCCTCACCTGATACATGTACAGGTTCAAGTCAGACTACAATTCAGTTCAGAATTATTCTGGCATCTATAATACTAACAATAAATAAAGCTTAAAAAAAAAAAATCTGTGCAAAGGCAAAGAATTTTTTTAATTAATCAAGTAATTAAAGAAAGAAATATAAATTAATGTTAAAAGGTTTATGTTTCAAGCAATTTAATAGCTACGACTGTTTATTATAGTAAGTAAACATTACAAGCTACATTTGTATTTCAGAGTTTAAGCACTAATATTTCTTCTTAAAATACGAAGACATGCCAGTGGTTACTTTATTGTTTGTTTGTTTGGGTTTTTTTTTTTAAATAGATGTACTGCTTGAAGTATTCTACAGGTCCAACGTTCTCAGTTGGCTATTTATTTCCTTTCTCCTTCCCAAAAAATATCAAAGCAAGGTAATCTTGTGTTATAACCACCTGAAAACAGCTGACAAAAAGCAGTCCATTAGAACACAATTTAGGCATCCAAACACAGGTGTCTGGGGCCATTTTAGATTGACATAGCCAAAACATCTGACTGCAGATATCGCACGAAACACAGGAGAATACGTGCCATTTTAAAGTGGCTGCAGGGAGCCAGAGATGATATTTGAGAGCGTTTAAAATGGCTTTAGACACCTATGCTCAAGTACCTTAATAGCTCCCTCACAGTAAGAATTTAAATTAAAAAATAATTTTAAAAAAACCCCAAATTTTAGTTATATATTTATTGTACTGATCTTACATAAGCCAAGAAAGTGTTGATCCAAGAGCCTGAAGCTGAAATTAAATGTCTCTTACACACATCTCTTAAAACACTCCAAACCTAAACATGAAACAATGTAACTTTTTCTGTTGTATTTTTAGAAATAAAACTGTATGTTTTATTCTGACAAGCTCAGTAAGTAGAACAAACCACGGCCACAACAGTTCCATTCTTAACACAACATAATTTATGACCAGGATAATTTTACAGTTTTCTTCTTCAGTGTTATAATATAAAAACAATGCTAACAGCAGGATTACCATTTAGTAAAACAAGTAATAGTTTGCCCCAGCAGTAACAAAAACCTGTACCAGGGAAGGAAACACCGGACAGCATAAAGAGAAAACAAAATTTGCTTGATGGCAAATACAAATACAAAACCAAATTGCTTGATGGCAATACAAGAATTCTGTATCTGAACAAACCTCTAGATAGCTGCTTTCAAACGAGGTTTCTACACAGATCAGGCCTTAACACCTCTTAGAATAAAAGTGGTGAAGCACTTGCAGTACTTCTAGAGATCGCTTCACCTTTTTGACTCAGATCTGCAGCACATGTGAAATTTAATTTGCCATCCAAGGAGAGATTATTCCTGTCAAAAGGAGTGAAATGGAAGGTACCTACAGGAAATCATAAAGCACGACTAAGCTAAGCACATTTTCGGCACTCAGGAAGAGAGAGAAAGCAATGGCTCAGTGTGAGCAAATATTTTAATGGAGCAATATGGTGATGATACACACAAGCCTCATTGTTCCAAGAGCAGAGAGAAAACAAAATTCAATTTAAAATTGTTCAGCTTAAAAATACTCTGAAAGTCTACAAAGATGAATACAATCCATTTTTGAAAATGACACAATCCCCTGTAGGCCTTGGGTGAAGTTTAAGATAATGCTGTTTTGTAGTAGTTTTCCTGGTTTACAAGAAATATTTCATTATTTAAAGGAAAAATCCTGGAGAGCAAAAGCGGGCATCTCCAGTGAGCTTTTAAAGCTTTAGGTCTATTTATTATACATGGGCTTTCTAATCAGCAATTATAAATACTTACTTTGATCCTGAAAACCAGAGTGATCTGGTGATACTTTCAGTGGCAGTGCTGCAGACTTACCCTTTCCCTTTTTCCCTCTGATGTAAGTAAGACTGAACTGAGTCAAGCAGTGGATACTGGGAAGAAACTGTAATCCTCACTCATTTTACATATGCACCACCACTTTTAAAACCATGATCAACTTCCCCCCCCACCACCCCTTCCATTTAATTTGTGAGATTCACTGTTAGAAAATGGTGGTGTTAGTGAGTATGAGAAGAGACAACTGTCCGTGCCACTTAAACTTTGTATACAGCATCTTTGTTTATAGTTAAGTAATGTGATGACTCAAGCTTGCCACTAGGAAGAACTGCTTGTTTTTACAACTAAAAATCAAAATAAACTGAGGGCAAGTCTCTAGAAACACAATACACCCATTTAATATAAAATGGTCTAAAAATAACTTAAAAAAAAAATCCTTAAAGACACTTAAAGGTTTAAATGTGACTCAAACCACTCTGTAGTTAACCATCAGCTAGCAAACAAGTTAAATTGCTCTAACATATTACTCTTCCTTAACTAAGTCAAAATAACACACTTAAGTGCTCCCCTCATCTATGGCATCAAAAAGTAAGAGAGATTAGTTTACACAGTGAAGGTTATTTTCAGGGAGGAGGAGTAAATCTTCAGTTTTAAAAGGAAGAAGAAAGCTCTCCCTCTATTGCCACCAAACCGCTGACAGTGTTATTTTCAGCTAGAGGTTGGCTGGATCACAGAACCATGGAGACAAGAGTAATTCAGGCTGGAAGGGGCCTCAGGGTACAAAATCCTCCTCAAAGTAGGCTCAGCTGCGAGGTCAGCCCAGGTTATTCAGCATTTTATTCAGGTGGGTCTTGAAAACCTCTGAGGCCAGAGACCACATAACCTTTCCAGCAACCCAATCACGATGAAAAAAAACTTTTCCTCATATCTAATCTGAATCAATTCTGTTTCAATTTAGTCACTGCAAAGAGTCCAGCTCTGTCTTCTCTATAACCGCCTCATGGGTGCTGGGAGTCCACGTCTTCTCCAAGCTGAACAGGTTCAATTCCTGCAGCCTCTCCCAGCAGGGCAAGCACCCATCATGGTGGCCTCTGCTGAACTTGCTGCAATTAATCAGCAACTTTCCTGGATCAGGGGCCTAAAAATGGATGCGGTACCTAGATGTGATGCAAGAAGTGCTGAATAATCGGGGGCATAATCACTTGCCTCGATCTACTGGCTACGTGCCTGGTGATACAGTCCAGGATGCTGTTGGCCAACTTCGTTGCCAGGGAATTGCTGTCTGCCAGCACCCCCAGGGCCATTCCTGCAGAGCTGCCCCCCGAGCCCCTCTGTCCTCAGCCCGTATCCCTGCCAGCAGCTCCTCCTTCCCAGGTGCAAGACTTGGCATCTGTCCCTGCTGATTAGCTTCAGGTTCTTGACAGACCACTCCTCCTGCTTTCTAGGAATCCTGACAACCAGCCCTTCCCTCAAGCGTATCACCTGGTCATCCCCCCTGGTGTGGTGTCACCTGCGAACATGAGGAGAGCACACCGCACTGCCTGCTCCAGCCACTGATAAAGACAGGTCCCCGTATAGATCCCTGTGCGACTCCACACACGGTATGAACCCTTAACCACCACCCTCTGACTCACACCATGCAATTATTTTTTTAT